AATATTAGTATATAGCGAATAGGTCACGTGAAACAAAATGATTGGCGTTCTCTAAATGCACGCTCTCTATAAATGCAGGCGCATCGTCGGTCCCGACGACGTGCACTTAGAGAGGTTTGACTGCACTTGGAATTGTTTAAATGTTGTCGAGTTATGCAATTTTTTGTGAGGGCAATTTTTTTCGTATTTTTTCACAATAACTATTGTTTCTCCGCATGCAGATGTGACCAATGATAATCAATGTGTAGAAATTCGCGTTTGTTGAAAAACAATCCGAATACTCTACGAAAAATGCTTAATTTCCCGAGTGAATCTTTTTTTAGAATACTATATACTAATACTTATTGGCTTCTACTTCGTCATCAGCCTATTGCTAAATAGCATAACATGGGTATATTATGCAATCCAGAAAACTCTGGTACCCTATTGTTAATATATATTCTAAGAGTAATCAATCACATTTGAACAAGACAAAAGTGAACATTTGACTGCATGAGCTGATTATGATGTTAATGTGGCAGAGATAACACTAATATAGCTTATGATGTTTTTGGGAAGGCTTTGCTTGAGTGGCATAATAATAAACACAACCCATGAGCTAATTTTTAGTTTATTATGCTGAAATCTGATATAACATTTTACTTGAATAATGATAACATGTTTAACATAGTAATAGGATTACGTCTATAAAAAAAATGTATATATGAAACTAGTTTACATCAAATCCACCCTGGATAATGGAACCAAAAATTACAGTATAAGTGCGATTAGAAGCATTTTCAAAAAAGCTCAAGGCGAAGAAATTGCTCCATATGTTTTTAAAATCAATGATACACAAACTCTCCAGGAGTATCTAGATAATAATAAAGAAAGAATCACTTATAAAATTTACCCCAAGCGCAAGAGAAACAAAAAATAATAAATATTAAATAAATATTAACCTCAACTTATGAGACCAAGAAAGAAAAGAAGACTGGCAGAATAAACAATCAAATTATTACTCATCATCCTCTTCTTCTAGTTCAGCAGGTCCTTCTCATCATTTAACCAGGAGTCTTCTTTTTTAAATGGCTCAACAAATACTAATACCTCCTCCTAAGTAAAGTAATCCCAGTCCAGATAAAATGGCCAGGAGATTCTTTCAAGTTTAAAATGATTATCCTCAAAATGCTTTTCATACTTCTTCTTGGCATAATTTTGACCTCCTAACTTTTCAGTATAGTATTTAATGATTCCGGCATCATATAATGGCCGTCATTCAAAAACGAAAGAAAAGGATGAGAAATTTATTGTACCTTACAAACTTCATTAATTATTCTCCTGGTAATTTTTATTATCGGTGAGAATTATTATTATAGTAAAGTGTGATGTCTAATCAAGTAATTTAAATTTTGAGGATTGGACTAATCCAGCCCGAGGCTTTAATTAGGTGTTTTTAGACACGGGAGGCAAAGGCTCTCTTGATTAAAAAATAAATTGATCGATATTGAAAATAGTGTTGATGCTCTGAAAAATATCTCCCGAACAAAAAGCCAACACGGAAAGATTGGTTAAACCCACCTTTTCTTTCGATTAAATATAGTAATAGTACAACATTATATTAATACAGCAGATTAAGATAAGCTAATTGTAAGTTAGCTGGTAATCTACCTATTCAGGAAGCAATGGTCAGTTCTATTAGGACAATATCTCGATTGCTGAAGTAGAGTTGGATTGTTAGAAGAGAATATTAGGAATGCAATCAACGAATAATTTAGAAATTGCCTTGGCTCAAACAATCAATTAAGATCTTATTATATTTACTGGACCTTGAATATGTGCATAGTTGTACGCGTACTTATACTTATACTGTCTATTTCTATAAAATTCCAAGCTACCGTTTATGCTTAAAGCTATTTTACTTTCCATCTAATGAATTCATAATCTCGTTGAGTCTCGTTAATTGCATCCAATTAAGGGTTCCACAGTCTTCCAGTTAATATTAACAAAATTTTCGTGCCGCGTTGGATCTACGCTAACTTACTATATCAGTCAAGTACTGTATAACTTTGTAGGGACAGAGAATGTGTCTAATTAAAATCTTACATTAAAAGGTAACTCGTTTATCTGCTTTTGAGAGCAGATCGAATATTCCCGTACGTGTGTTAGTATGTTTTTTGACCGAGTTCAACCATGGACTTCTAATACATCAACGCAGCAAGCACATTATGTGTATTTGTATTAAAATTTTTTTTCAAAGTTAAAGTTTACAGAGGTAATTGTTTAGAATAAAACCCTTCACACAGTAAGACAGATTATCAATAGTCAGGAAGACGTGGCACAATACACTGTATCTTAAGTTGGCAAGTTAAAAAGATATTGTTTGTAAATCGAAGGCTGACAATCTGTCTGGTTGCTATGGTTTTCGGTTTAGATCCATAGACGCTTTGACACACGTTTTGGCGACAAGGGATGCGATAAATTAAGAAAAAGCTAATGCACTTTGCGGAAACATACAACCACATTTATCCGCAACTTTCGCGTGATTTTGAATTCTTGGTGAAACCATTGGCATATGATGCACATGATTATCCGAGATCTCCAAGAAAAAAAAAATATTTTTTTGCTTTTCCCGTTTCTCCTGTTTTAATCTTTAATCATATCTTTCCTCCCCCCCACCTTTAGCTTTTACGATCCAATGGCGCGCACAGTTGATCCATGGGTATTATTTCTAATTGCTACTTATCGAGGAAAGGAGATCGAGTCTTGAGTTATTTTTACATCTAATTAAGTCGTCTATCCACTAGAATGCTTGTCTGAACACGCCTCTCCAAGAGGACGATAAAGAAATTTATGACTTGATTCAGAAGGAAAAATATAGACAATACTCTGGATTGGAATTAATAGCTTCAGAGGTAATGACTAGATCGCTAAATGCAATCTATCAGACGCGTTTATAACACGCATTTTCGTCAACGCTATTCACCCCGCTTAAACACCACCGTTCATTCAAACATATAGTTCCTCTTTTCGAATTCAAATTCTATTTACCACTTTATTCTAGAACTTTACCTCACTTGCAGTAATGGAAGCAAACGGTTCTCCCTTAACCAACAAATACTCTGAAGGACTCCCCGGAGCCCGTTATTACGGCGGTAACGAATACATCGACCAAATCGAAAACCTCTGTCGTAAACGAGCGTTGGAAGCCTTTCATCTGAATCCGTCCGAATGGGGTGTGAATGTCCAACCGTATTCGGGGAGCACAGCCAACTTTGCTACTTTGACCGCCTTACTACAACCACAAGATCGTCTTATGGGATTAGATCTTCCATCAGGCGGACATTTGACCCATGGCTGGCAAACGGCAAAGAGAAAGGTTTCATCATCTTCAATTTATTTCCAATCAATGCCGTACAGAGTAAACGGAGACACTGGGTTGATCGATTACGATAAATTAGAAGAAAATGCTCAATTGTTCCGTCCAAAACTCATCATCTGTGGTGCAAGTGCATACGCACGAGATTGGGACTATGCTCGTCTTCGTAGAATCGCCGATCAACACGGTGCTTATGTTATGGCCGATATAGCGCACATAAGTGGTCTTGTGGCTAGTGCAGAGGCCAACGATCCGTTCACGTTCTGTGATGTCGTAACTACCACTACTCACAAAACTCTCCGTGGTCCTCGCGCTGGGTTGGTTTTCTTTCGTAAGAACAAGGACGAGCTTGAAACCCGCGTGAATGGTGCAGTTTTTCCGTCATGTCAAGGTGGACCACATAATAACACCATTGCAGCAATTGCTGTTGCATTGAAGCAGGTGGCAACCCCTGAATTTAAGCAGTATGCCAAGCAGGTTAGAGCTAATGCCAAGGCATTGGGTGAAGCATTGACTGGCTATGGATACAAGTTGGTAACCGGTGGGACAGATAATCACTTGGTGCTTTGGGATTTGAGACCTTTAAATTTGACCGGAAATAAGCTCGAGAAGATTTGTGATATGGCAAAGTAAGTTTGGGCCGGCAAGTTGAGTTGGGAGTGTTGATCGGATTAATCAAGTTTTTATTAAAAAACCTTATTCGTCGCAGTATCACGATCAACAAGAACTCCATACATGGAGATGTCAGTATGCTCTCTCCAGGTGGAGTGCGATTGGGTACACCTGCATTAACATCAAGAAGCTTTAAAGAACAAGATTTCATCAAGGTTGCCGAATACCTGCACCGGGCTGTACAAATATCGGTTGCAGTACAGGTGCGTAGCAATAACTTTAATAGCATACTTATGATCAGCTTTGTATAATTGCATGACTGACGAACTGCTTGTCTGCAAACTTTGTTGTAGGAGAAGGCGGGTAACAATTCGATGAAGGACTTTGTAGCAGCCCTTCAGGATAACAATGACATTCCAGCACTCAAGAAAGAAGTAGAGGATTTCTCCACAAGCTTTCCCATGCCAGGTCGTATATTTAATAGACTGTTTCATCTTGTAATTTGTTTAATCAACATCGACGCTAATATTCAAGCGCTTTTTACTCTCTAGGATTTGACCCAAATACTATTGCGACAACTGTTGAATAGTGAACATTAGACATTTAGCATATAGTCAGTCATTTTAATGCCACAACATGAACGATTTCTTTATTCAGAAAAAAAAATTGTCAATAAAATTGTTTGAATATATCAAAATCAAGGACGTGGCGCAAACGTTAATGCATTCAAAGGCTTTGTCATCTTCATAAAATGGGTATTGTCGTGTTCAATAAAGAGTATGTGACTCAGGTTTATGTTTATGTGTTCGATTAGGAAATGGCTTATCCGTTGATCCTGTACGTTGACCTACTGTTTCTCATTGTCTATTAGCATCACCTCTGTTGCATTCCCTGCTCTAGAATGTCCTAACGACCGTAGTCGCATAGTCCCATAATCTCACGCAGTCCATATCATCCAAATAGTCTTCTCCATAGAGAACGACGATGTAACTCGTCTTTTTTCTTCTTGGTTGCTTTCTCTAATTGCACAAGAAGATTTTTATAATGTGAAGGCTTCTTTGACGGTTTGAAAATTTTAGCCGATAGTGCATACTAAACAGAAAACATTACTGACCAGTTAGAATACTGTAGGAGATTATTGTTGATGGGCAGTTAATTATTATCAATGAGATTACCAATTTACGTTACTACATATGCTTGTTTTTAGTATTTACCATGCTTTTTGACATGCAGCTTAAAAGCGTAAGGCTAATAAATTCTACATACGATTCGACCATGACAAGCCAGTCAACTACAGCAGTACTCTACCTTCTCCTTATACTCGTTTCCAACCAATTTCTGCAAAGCAACATACTCCATTTTCGCTTCCTTCATCAACTTTCTGTTAATCTCGGGATCTTCTACGTTCACGTTTTTCCTGAATTCTTCTCTAATTTGTCCATATAATACGTTTTTTAAACTTCGATTTGGCCTCAAATCATCAGGGGGCCATAGTTTTATGGTACGAAGATAATGGCGGTAGAGATGCAGTAGTTCTTGTCGAGACTGAATCGACATTTTTGAGTTGCGCGAGATCAAAGAAAAAAAAACAAATACCGAGGAACGATTTATGGCTAACTCGGTGATCTACCCGTAGGTTTAGTCGAAATTTTTTATGGTAACATTTAATTTTTTTTATTAACAATATCAATATCAATATTACAACATTTTATTAAATCCATTTGACTATAAACTGGCATATTACATGACCGAATACATCCAATCAACTCTTTTCAACCGCAATATCGCTGGAATCATCTGATGGCGTTCCGTCTGTTGCGTCTGGTGGTCCACTGCCAGGTCTCCATCTTGGGATACATCTGTAAACCGGACATTGCCAACAACTATAGGACGGGATAGCAACAATGCAAATTTCGAAGCGCCTACAGCTGGAGTGATTACATATATTACAGTTAGTTCTGCACAACATCATACGGATAATAAAATTTACGCGATATTTGTTCTAATATTTAATACTTACTAACACCTTCGCGGGCAGTAAATACATGGTCGTCCAGGTTGTCCGCTGGGATTTTCGCTGGGTGGTCCTCCTTGGGGACGGGCATTAACGGAAATGAGGAATAGAACGATGCATATGAACAAGAGAAATGTGAATCGTTTGGTCATTTTAATATTATTATTCTTAAAGTATTCGATGTGTACGAATTATCAGACTTTGTGATAATATTTCTAAACCTTCACGATACACGTATTTATAAAATTTTCTGCACATTCTTTGTGAAGTAGTTTCTTACATTCCGTATACCCACGTTCCAACGATTGATTGGATCAATATTTATTGTTGACAAGGTAAAATTGCAAGGCTGCGAGAAAGATAAGCTCTGCAACGTGATGATATAAAACAGAATGAGATATGAAATACGCATATTTAATCAACTGTCTATCTTCAAATCGTGCGGTAGATGTTACCCACATTGTGCTTATGTATTCGAGTGGGAAATTTATAATATCGTGCGTGTCGTACGAAGCCTTACTTTCGCGTACTAGCAACAATTTGAAAGCAACACACGCACGCCACACACTTAATTACATCACAAACTCAACTAGTGTAACTTCGCTAATTCAGCCACGTAATAAGAGTTTACGTCCTGACAAATTCGGTAAGTACGTGACAGGACAGTAGGTGCCCGCTAGGTTATTGTCTCTTCGTCAACAGTACATGCATTTGAGTGACTTTGTTATGGAATGCTCTTCCTCTTGATACACCAATTCTTATATCAGCACATACGCAAAGACATGTTGAATGGCACACAAAAATAAAAATTATAATCAGAAAAAGACTATTTAGTGACGCAACATTGTTTAAATTGTTTTGTAACATAACAATAATAATAATAATAATGCATGACCGATCCGCTTTTCTTATTCTAAAAGATCAAAGCAAAATGTTCGCATAGGGATTGTTTCTGTGTAAAGGGTAAAATCTATCATATAATAAGCGGGAAATAATGCACGAAATAATGAGACAATAATCCCGAGATAAGCATAAACTAACATGTGAATCTTATCTCCAGAGAGTGATAATGTAAATCGCTCTCCAAACATCGATTGAACGCAATGAATCTATGTTTCTCTTGAGACTCTTGTCGATACATGCCGACCCCATCGATATTATCATTTTTGAAGGTTATTAGCATTTTGGAACGCACGTACAACCACCGCATTGAGTACAAGTTCGATTGTACCGTACTAGAGTTTGGTCTTGCGTGCATCTACATTATTCGATTCCGAAATAGTACGGCAATGTAAATAATAATCAATACAGTAAGTCGCCCTCGTTCCACATGTTATACTCACTGGCAATCATATAGCATAAGCGGACACACAACACAGTCTGTGTAAAGCGGGCTAGCCCCAACATGAGAGCAATAATTGCACAGTACGAAAGAAATAAGCAAGATAAGTGTGAATAATTTGAGCATTTTCTCGGATGAACAGATTTGAATCTGTGAAAGTTATTTCAGTTGCCCCATCCCATCCTTATAACACAGGCGGCTATTTTTATGGTGGGCGTGTAATGTTTATCACAATGATGTGGGAAGAATAAAAATAGAAATTTGTCATTGCTCAAAGCCCTAGCGCCAGCGTCAGCTACGTAATGGTCACAATAAATTGCGCCCAATTTCCAATATTGTTAAAGAAAGTACATGTGCAATTGAACAAGCTTCAGCTTTTGATATGAAAAGTCAAGTCATGCCATTTTAGGATTAGCGATATCACTAAATTCACGCACAACACAAATTCCGATCAGTGTGCATGCTTCTTGTGTAACAGGTAATATGAGAGGCTGAAAATTACCTAATTTGGGGCAAGTCTAAACGGAGCTGATTCCATTGGTCAAATTTGTCTACTAACATTTTAATTTTTCAGTTTTAAATTAATAGCATGTTCAGGTGACTAATGTTAAATTGGCTAAGATGAAAATTATCTCGAAACTAATTTGACATTAAAAATCTACTATGAAAAATAGCGCTATCAGAAGGAGAAAAATTGCTCTATGTGTTTTAAAAAAATATTATTGCAACACAACTTGTGATGGTTGTCCTTACAGATCTAAAAAACGACTGGTTCTTCTATTGGTTGAAGAGAAAAAAATTCACAAACTTGATTGCCATGATTTAAAACTAGCGATTACCATCATTGAAAGTGTCCTGACAAATGGGGCCTCTGGTGCACCACCTTTTGCTAAAAGGGTTTTGATGGATGCCAAGTATTATAATTAATTACATAAAATACCGAGGCGATTGAAGAAACGCGTTGAAGAAATATGGACGGCCACAGCGATTGGTGTAGAGATTGAGGAAGTTGATCCACCAGTAACACATGACGATAACGTGCCAATGCGTAACGATTTGATGTTATGAGCCTGAGGAGTTTTGACTCTTCGTATGTTGGGTTAGGCGCTATGTTGAGACTTTTCATTTGCGTATAAAAATTGAACATTTGTGCGAGCCAATTAATTTTATAATAAATATTTAATATGATTTGAATTTCTTTGCAAAAAATACAATTGGAATGGTAGAATTAAAGGCAATAAATTCGGCTAATTTACATAGTAATAGGACACGTGAATAAGTGATAGATCAGTTACAGTACTATTTATTTGTAGATGCGAATTTGTAAGTGTGGCGACATGTTTTCAGTAAAGACACTTACTTTTGACGGCCTACAAGAGGAGCAATGTTGTTCGAAGATGAGAACAAGCGCCAATTTAAGACGCAACGAGATAATAATAGAAACTAAAAATAAAACATTGTAAAAATAATAATAATAATAACATTGGGCACACACGACTAATTTTCCGTATTACCTTGGTGCCGATGGGTAAAAATGCGCTGACGAATTTTTTCCCATATCTCGTGCATCATTGATTCTTCCTTAATATTAACCATGTTTGGCATATTTTTACTGAGGAAGCAATTCTCGACCAAACCAGCATTGCATGGTCTAATTATTCTGACGCAAATTATCGCTATTACTGATGTCTTCCGTCAGTTGTGCTTGGCTCATCCATCGCAAATCCATCTCCAAAAGCAGTAATTTATGTCTTCCACTTTATAAATTCTGGTTGCCAAACGAATAATGAACCGATCACCAGTGTGCTTGATGTATACTGGCAACATCAACAATACAACGATATACAAGTTCCGGTGACAATAACATACATGTAGCATCTTACTAGGACGTTGACATCGGATAATTAAGGTAAAAAAAAAAGTAATGTACAATGGGAATACCTTTAGTTTCTCTGAATGGGTTTAACAACAAGATAGAATGTCAATGAGCTATCTTAATCCTGCAATGTGAAGAAATCACTATCGCCGCAACATAAACAAAACAATGTTTGTACAACTAACACAATGCCTTTGACTATTTCTGTCACTAAATAAACAACTTAAATAACTCTTAAATTAAATGTTTTCAGATCCCCACTGCAACCACAATATTCACAGCTGATCGTCCAGTTCCCATACTCTTACTCAGTCTCACTCTCTCTTTTCTCTCTCACCACAACCCATCATCGTTTCTACTGATTATTTGGTTTCTCAAAGCCATTCCCTTATCCTGCAAACAACGATCCAACGACGATGAAACATCCAACAAGAAATACTAACACACAAATGTCCGTCCAGATGCAATCCCATATCAATTTGTATCGCACCAAGACCGTAGCAACATCAAGGATTGGTCGAGGCAATCTTGTTGCAAGTGTGTTGATCACGGATGGATTTTGGAAGAGAGGGCTCTATAAATAGGTATAAGTGAGTTTAAATGGTCGATGAAAAGTATTAGAAAAGAACAAAGGGGAGGAAAGAGTTACCTCA